TTGTATATTTAATTATAATATTTGCAATCCCCAATTTTTACTGGGCCAGCCAGCTCCAAAGGTCACCTCATCAGCAGAACTTACACCAAAGTCTCCTCATCTGTTGGGTCTCTGATGGTGCTTTTCCCCTGAAACAAACACCAGGAGCAGGGTGGGTGGGCATTTGGTCCTCAACTGCCCAGCCCATGTCTGTGGTTGGGATTATTTACCCACCTTTCTGCAGTTGTCACTTGCTGTTCTTTGGGTTACAGAAATATCCAAGTGTGGCAACCCAAAGCATTTAGGGATCATGAGTCACGTCTCCTGACAAAATTGGCTTCAAAATCTTGTTATTTCTTTTAAATAAACAAATTCACAGGTGTTTTGGTTGTTCTTTTGGTTTGCCTTCAGATGGCAGAGCCTTGCAGCAATCACAGGTTTACACTTTCCTTTGCCACCACCAGCATTAAACAAATACTCTTTCTTTCACTGTTCTTTGTGAATGGAAGTTTAAGGTCTCAGCCACAGGACTTCCAAAGCAGGAGCTTTCAGCGATCTCTGAGCCAGGACAAGGCTCCCGGGAGGGTCTAGAGGAGCAGTGTTGCCACCTAGGGACTCCGGAGAGCTCTGAAAGAGTTTTCTCCAAGCTGGGATGCTCTGACGCGTTTCCCTGGGGTTGGGGCTGTTTGCCTGCTCCCCGTAGGTGTCCTGGGAGGGACGAGGGTTTTGGAGATGGTCTTTTTATCTTGGCTTTTGTTTCCCCGCGAAATCAGTAGCCCTTGTTGCTCAGCACTGTGTGCCAGCCAGAAATCCTGCCAGCAGATGCCTCATAAAGGCTGTCACAGCCCCTCCATCACAGGCTCCAGGAATACATTCATCCCAAAATGCACCTCTACACCTGTTACTTATCGATCCAATTTTTCACGTTTAGCTACAGAAGTTTTTCAGCAGACAAAAATTGAAGGAGGATTTGCTGCTCCTGCCCTGGCAGGAAGATTTACACATGAGCAAATGATTTGTAACAAACACCTTGTAAGATAGATGGAGCTGCTCCTCTTGTTCACAAATTATTCACAGACCATGGGCTTGAAGAGGAAGAAATTTTTTCCTTGCTTTGTAAAGTACACACAGATGCATTTCTGTATTATTATTTATGACAACTTTCACAGTAAAAAACACTCCTGAGAGCATCTTTGCAGAATTATTGCAGCTCATGGGTTGTTTAGTTGGCAGTCTGGACAGAGGACAGGTTTGGCTGGGTTTCTTTTTTTTTCCCTTTCTCCTGTTTTTTAGTGATTGCCTTGACCAGCAAGATTTTTGTCACGAGTTTGAGCCTGTGGGCATTACAAGGTCATAAAATTGAAGTTCCTGGCCTCCACTTCTCTCACCAGCCTGCTCAAGGGAGCGTATCACCAAACCAGCCCCTGGGTTTTGCTGGGTGAGCACAGCTCTTTAAATCAGACTCCGGGGCAAAGATTGAGTTCTGCTAGTGCTCCCCAGCATGATGGGAAAAGTGCTGCTGCTAGAACTGTTTCTGGAAAGATGGGGCGTTTCTGGAGCATCAGGTGCCACCACAGGGGGAAGCTGTGAAAGATGGACAGGTAACCAGAAACAGGGACCAGGGACACCAGGGATCAGAAAAGCTTTTCCAGGCAGAGCTTTGGGGTTTGCTCCCATTACATATTTCCCATATAAAGGGCTGGATGAAACCTTCTTTTCCCTATTTCCAGAGCCAGAATTAAAATGCACCACCACGTCCTTGGCAGTGCTGTGAGGAGGGGCAGATCCTCAATCCAGCTGTGCTACACTGACACACACACACAAAAAATATAGTTTTACCTAGAAGATCCAACGCTGCCAGGTGTTAACAAGGTCACTATTCAATCTCTGTCTTCACGGCTCCTGTGTTCCAGATGTGTCTATGTTATGTGTTGATTGGTGCAAATCATGTGCATATGTAAAACCCAGTGGCCTGTGAGCTGAGCAAACACACGATTGCTCCACGAATCCATTACTGGTAGGAGCAGATGGGTTCCTTGCTTAAATAAATGCATTTCAAACTCCTCTAGGTCTGCTTTCAAAACCACCAGTTTGTTTATATAACATGGTGCAGCCAGGCTCCTACACCCTGTGCTCACCAAACCCCCCCCCCTGCCCTGGAGTTCAGGTGCTTTCATTTCTGCATTAAAAAAATCAGAACGTGAATACAGTTTTGCAAACGTAACTGAAAAAAAAAATCTCTTTTGATTTGTAAATAGGAGCAAAGCATTGTTTACATTCAGGCACTGTTAATTGGAAGCATCCACAATATGTCACTCTGAGGCAGAGCAAAATAGGCACAGAATAAAAATATCTCCAGTGACCTGGTCCTGTAAATGCTGAGTAACTTTATGCTCTGGGAGCAGAAGTGCCTTGAAACAAAACGATTTTATTCATTCCTCCTGGAGCTGGCTGGAGTCAGCAAGGGAGAGAAATAAAAAGCTGTTTTCCCTTGTTCTGCTGCTGCGTTCTCAGCTGACCAAAAACTGTGAATGGGCTGGGGAAAAGCAGGTTTTGTTTGCTTTGTGGGTGCTTGGGTGGGTGTTGCTCGTTCACATGGGGGAGCCCTTTTCCAACGTGGGCCAGTTCTCACACAACCTGCAGCTCCCCAGACACCCCGGAGACCTTCTGCTGGAGAAGAGGAGGAGGAGGAGGAGGAGGAGATGCTCACGTGGCCCATCAGCTGCCTGTGCCAAACCGAGCCGGTGTTCCAGCCCCGCTCCCCAGCAGTCGCACACGGTCGCTCTCAATGGCCACCTTTGTTGGCAGCCCTGGGCAGGAGCTGCTGACGTGGCACCCGCCGTGTCACCTTGTCCTGTCCCCTGTGCCGGGCCTTCCGCCACACGCAGGGGCTCAGGATACCCCCTCTTTAATTTTTATGCTCGCTTTTATGCCTTAAAAAGAAAACAAAACGAAGAAAGGAGCCCGGCAGAGGAGGTGGAGGCATTCCCCCCTCGGTTGGTCCTTCCTGTTTCTTCATTTCCTCATCTCCCCCTTTCCAGCCTCTTCCTCCACCTGTTGAAACGCGGCTACCACAATTAGGGAAAAGCTGCAATTTTAGTGTGTGAAGCTGCCACAATTTTAAATAATTGCTTTTAAAACAACAACCCAGAGGAAGACACCGTGTGTCCCCCTCTCCTCTGCCACCAGAGAACCCGGTGGCACTGACTGCCCTGCGCTGCCTCTCTCCTGGGCAGACACACTCCCACCCTGGCAAAAGTCAATGTTTACACTTGTCACATATATTTTTAGTGCATCCTAGACCCAGCCATGCCTCAGCACAGCCTCGTGGGCCAATTGCCACGGGGAAAGGCACCTCCCGGCAAATGTTCCTTCATTTCTGGAAGGACAGAGGAAAGAACAACCCCCCAAGTGAATCCTGGCAGGAGCTGGCTGCAGGTCCCCATTTCACCAGTCCTTCAGGTTCTTCCAGTTCACGGGGACAAGGTGCACAGCAAAGGCATTTGCTCTGCAAGTGGCCTCCCAACACCTGACCTCTGTAAGTGCAAACAACATTTAGAGCAGGAAAATGCCTGCACAGACCTCTCACCCTGGGCTGACTGCACTGCAGAGGGATCATCAGGGTAATTCCAGTGGGTTTTGGTGGGCTTTTGGGGTCTGTTTCTAATTACAAATTTGTAATTACAATTACAAATAATAGCGACCAATTTCCAGTTTTCCTTAATTTTGTCTCAATTGCCTTGTCCCAGTACTGCTGGGATGCTGTTGAGTGTTGCACATCAATTAACATCTTCACTGTGGCCACTGCACAGCCCAGGCCATCCCCAGCAGAAAGGATTTGTGCCCCTGCCTACATTAAGTGCCAGTCACTGCTGCTTAGTCCTACTCGACATCAGATCCCTTTAAAACATCCCATAAAGCAGCTGTCCCCAGTTCAAGCACATTCTGACCAAGCTCAGGACATTGATGGGATGGAAAGCAAATAAAACTTTCTCTTTTCCTGTGCTGTGGAAGGGATGGTGCATTTCACAGGAGGATAAGGCCAGCCTTCGTGGTGCCAAAGTCCATGGCCCACCTCATCCCTGGCTGGTGGCTCCTCTACCTCTCCTCTGCTCCACAGAACGATTTATCAAGTGGTTTTGAAAGAAAAACCAACAAAAATAAGTAAAGAAAGAAACAACTGGCTAGAGGTTCTACTGCCTGGGCTCCCCTTTGTCTTTCAGCCTGCCTGCATAAGTGTTGTTATGGGAAAGGTTGGAGATCAGATACAGCCCTCAAGTTCAGGACCTCTAACAGGCAGTGGAAGATAAGGCTCTGGATGAAGATAACTGCAGCAGTTATATGATTAATCCCAACATCTTCCCCTCTGCCTGTAAGAGCTGCGTGATCATAAACATCCTTAAGGGAAACAACCCCATTCTGGCTTGCAAATAACACAGACATCTTTTTATATACGAGCAAAGACCAAAATATCCAATCTGACAGTGCCCCACAGGAGTGCTCAAACTGAGCACTCTTGCACAGCTCTTTCCAAAAAGCAACTGGGAACCGGACGGGGCGAGAGCTCGGCCACAGCTCCAGCCAGAATGAGCCTTTTGTTCGAGCAAATGCAAATGTCAGGAGAGGGAATGGGCCAGTTGCCACCCTGCAGCAATGCCCCCAGCAGCAGGGTCGGGCTGGATGGCCCCAGATCTCTCTGGAAAAGAGGCAAAGTCAAAATCCCAGCTCTAACCACTCTGGCTTTTGGAGAGAGGCATCTCAAAGTCAGTCTTGCAGGCGATCCTCGTCTCCTCTTACACAGCACTCGCTGTCTAATTCCGTCAGGGAGATATTTAAGTACACGGAGTCCATTTGTTCAGGCATCAAAAAGCCAAACTCATTGGACATCTCAGACCAAAATGTATTTTAAAATGCATTATTAGCTGCGCCCTACCCCCAGCACACACAGAGATGGAAGTTTCAGTGGTGGCTAAAGGCAGAAGTCTCTACTGCTTGGTTAAGGTTTCCCTCCCCACCTTCACCTTTGTTGTATGTGAGCAGGGTGATCCTCCTTCCCATCCATCCTCCTTTTCTGAGGTTTGATGGGCATGGTGGGAGAGCTGAGTGAGCAGGATTCTTCCAACAGCAGCAGCAGAGGCCAAGGAAATCAGCCTGGGAAGGGCTTTGGGATGCTGTAGAGAAGGAAAGGGATAGAGTTATGATATTACTACAGCATGACTGCTTACAAAATTTTAGTCCTGTGTTGCCATTGATAATTAACTATAGATCAGCAGAGAAACGTTATTCTCTACCATATGTACGTGTATTTTTAGATAAATACGTTCCACAAATGCTTTGTAAAGGAAGTTTCTTTGCCTAAAGGATCTACTGCTTCCCAAGCCTCCAGTGGTACAACATAAACCATGTTACTAACAACAATTGTTCCTGCACTTGTTTCTGGAACACAGATCACAAAGCACAGTTTATTTGGGAGTGTCTGTGTACTCTTCTATTTCTGTCCTTATTCAGCCTTGTAGAGTAAAACAGGCAACTGTGAGTCCAGAGCAGGACACAGCCCTGCCCTGGAGAGATTACAGTGTCCATCAGATAATACACTGCAAATTATACATGGTGAGGCACAGACCTCAGACAAGCAGGAGGGGGAGAACAGCTTGGTTTGGGAAGGAAACTAAGAAAAGCGAGTCTTCAAGGAAGACCTTGAAGAGAAATCAGGAGGAGGAAACCTAGGAATTTCAAGGACTCAGCAAGGTAAGAGAGGCTGTACAGGAGAACACTGGAAGAAGAACCGACTCATAGAGATGAGAGGCAAATGCAGAATTTAACCAGGTCTTCTGGTATCTGATTTTGGGCAGGTAAATGACTTCAAATACTAAATTCTTAAAACCACAGAGACATCAACAAAAAAATGAAAGACAACTTTACTGACCTCCAAAAGCTTATCACCCCCAAGTGCGTACCATCTAACGAGATGATCATCAGGTCAGCCTTGCTCCCTGGTCTCCAGTGTCACCAGCAGCTTCACTCACTTCCCACCAGTCCCTGCCACACGGCAGAGGCGAGGTGGGATGGATGGTTTACAGACTGAGCAGCTCCACCACACGATGCCTGTGCTTCCCCCCTCCAAACTGGGCCAGTGGAGCACCTCCCACAGCAGCTCCTCGAGGCTGTGCCTTTATTTGTGGGCTCAGCAGAGCAGGAACAAGCACAGAGGCGTCGAAGAGAGCACGGTGCAAGATGTAAGTGAGGCAAGGGCAGGGAGAGGGGACACCGTTTATTAGGTCAGCTGGAGCACTTGGAAAAGCTACACATGCTTTCAGGCACATTGGGCTGCCTTGGGTCTGAAATAGAAGCAATAACCTTAGTGCTAAATACAGGTTGAGAATAATTGTTCTGAGTTAAACTTCATTATATTAATGAATTAGGCAATTTGAGAGAAAGGGTGATTGGTTCCTGTTGATCAAAGGGAGGATGCTTGCCAGAGGACAGCTGATAATGTCATTTATGGCACAAAGAGAGGGTGAGAGAGACAGGAATAATTATTGCCTAGGGATGTCTGGTGGTAGCAAAAATCATAATGTAACATGCAATCAATAGCTGTGTGATTTGCTATCCTGAAGTCAGGAATTTTAGTACTCAGATTGCCTTTTGCAGCACTTTTGGAGACCTTCCTTGCAGGCCAGGAGTGAGAGGTCAGAGGTGCAGTGGACGATTTCTTACCGAGTGCTTCTGCCCCTTATCAGTTTGCACACGTTAATTTAAGGTGTTGCCTGCAGTTGTTGCCTCCAGCCTGTCAAATCTGTCATGCAAAGTGCACGTGCAGGAGGGCACTGGTAGGTCTTGGTCCTTCTGTGTCACTTAGAAATCAGATTCCATTAAGCAGCTGTGGTTAATTGCCAGCACTTCTGAGCTCATCACTAACCCTTCGATATTGTTTCCTGTGAAGTGACAGTTCCAGGGGAACTGCGGTTTCCTAAGGACCTAAATTTTCACATAAATTTAAGTTTCTTAGTGGACTTGTGGAGAAAAGCTAGAAAATTCTGAAATCTGTTTAACTCTACACCCAGAAGATAAATTAATATGGTGGGAGGTGGATTATTATTTGTGATTACCTCATCATTTCTAAAATATTCTTGGAAGACTGAATCACAATTTCTCGAGTGATTTGGTTTGGCAATACTGAAATGAGTCTTTAAGGACAGCTCTGTAACAGTCTAAAGGCACAAGTGGAGAACATCCGTATTTGTTACTCAAAAATGAAATTTTTCTTAACTAAAATATGAGCTATGTCTCAAAGCAGCTAATAAATATGAGATTCAATATGCAATATTCAAATAGCTGCAAAGTAGGTAATTGCCCCAGGTGTTAATATTTTCCACAGTAGTTGGGAATTTTGCACTCTTCCACTAAATTGCAAACAGAGGTGCTGGATGTACCCAGCTAACCCCAAGAGACACAGACAGACCAAAACCCCCGTGCTTCAAAAATACATTGCAGTTATCTACAACATCTGGGACTCAGCAGGGAGTTAAAGGCTCAAGTATGGGATTAAAAACATCAAAACTACTCTTGGCCAGGCTGAAGCGATCTGTGGAAGATTCATAGTTCACAGCATGGCAGAGCCCAGCAGCCCTGTCTCTGTGCTGGCACATGGGATGCTCAATGTTAGGGTCTAACAAAAATCCAAGGGGAATTTGTTTTAGTTTGTAAAATCTGTCTGCAAGTCTAATTTTGACCAGCAGCAACTTCAGTGAGTGGGCTGGTGCAAAATTTTCACATGATTTGTACTGGAGGAATATATACTTCCATATCTATAGAAACACCCACAGACATTCTTTTAGAGAATCACAATAGTCAGTATGTGAGAGCTCACTGCTCCAGAGGCCTTCTGCTCCGCTGGTGGATGAATCAGACTCCATGTACCATGGACAATGAGGATCCAGTGCCTCACTTTTCTATGCATGCCTTATTTCAAAATGTAAAGGTCACCTAATCCACGTTAAGTGAACTGTACCATGGAGAAGATGCTCCAAGGCCACAGAGACTGAAGGCAATAAAAGGAGGGAATGGCAGGTCAACCTCTGAGGTTGTTCCTGTGGCACAAAGGAACCAGATGAAGTTCCTTATTGACAGCAAACAGCCAGTGATAGCCAGCTAATGTCTGACACTTGCTAACAGTGGGTTTCAATGGAGACAGAGGAGGAAACAACACAGAGAAGGGCAGTGCCTTGCCCAGAGTCAGATCTGGGGTGCCTGAGTTGTCATCCCCGATACCATGTTCTTCTCTAACCTGCCACCTCTCGTTTCCACCAGCGTGACTGAAAACTCCTGGGCGGTTGCATTCCTGGCCAAGGCTGCCCAAGCAGCAAATTCACCCAGGTCTGTGGCACTGTGAGCACCTAAGGCAGCCCTTCCCCATGTTCTGACATTCAGGAGTTCTCTACACTACGTCTTTAAAGTGAAATCAAGCCAGGCTCAGCCCATGGGGCGGAGGGAGAGGGCACCTCTTGGGGGCTGGAGCTTGGTGTGCTGAGTCTCCCATGGCACAGCAGTTCCCAGCACTGTGCAATTCAGAGCTGAGGTCAGACAGAAGTGGAGTCTGGGTGAAAAAAAGAGCAGCATGAAAGCCTGCTGCAGCTGAGCAAGTAAAAAGAGGCGGTGAACAAAGGGAGCAACACATTAGTCGGTCCTTCTGAGGGTTCTGTGGGAGGCAGAAAAGACATGGGAAAGGGTTATGGGTGTATAAGAGAATGACTATATTCTGCCAAGGAAAAAAAGGTGGGTTTCCAGGGCTGGCTTTAACTTCATGAGCCATTTGATATAAAATTCTCAGAGAAGCTCACAGGGGCACTAAAAAATAATTAAGGCTCTACATTCCCAGAGTCCTCTTTTGTTTTATGCTATGGGCAATCTTGAGGCCAAGGGGACAGGGGAAAGCGGTGCAATGAGCTCCGTGGCTGACAGACTGTTTAAATGTAACAGTGTCCCAGTGCTCAGAGGAGAGGAGCTCTGATTTCAGGCCTCTGAAGTGCTAAATTACAAATGAAAACTACAGCAAGTTCCACCAGAACTGCAGCCCTTGATACTACAGATTGTTCCTAACAAACGAAAGTTGACAGAATAAAGGATGGGGGTTGAGGGATGTCTGCACTGCACGCCAAGGTTTTTCTAAAAATATTTTACACCTGCCATTCGTTCTGCACTCTGATCATATTTTGTCTATGAGGTAGAGAACTCGTAGTGCCAAAGGGAATGTGGTTTATGTTCCTGAGTCTTAATGCTTTTTCCCTTCTGTAAGGCAAAACTTCTTACTACTGTCACTAAAATAAAGCCAAGAGGACAAAAGTCACACATGCACTGCCACGGTCACAGTTTAACTGTTCCTCTCGCTGATCTTTGGAAACAGTCCCTTCAGCAGGATTTTACAGCTCTGGCACTTCGATTTAGCAAACTTTTTATGCAACTCATGAGAGGAATGCAGCCAACTCTGTACACTCAATTTAAATCAACTTGCTGATGATATAAAAAAGAGTGCTGAACCACCGGTTTGCTTCATCTGCTCCAAAACTACCAACACAAACCCTGAGGTATTTATTCCTGAAACGTTAATAGAACAGTCTGGGACATCAGATCAGTACATGAACTCTGCTTTGATCCCATGTCGGTCCAAAGAGCTGATTTAACAACTAGTTGTTTGGTTACTTGATAGTTCAGAATGCAACTGGGCTGTTTGCTCCCACCAAGCTTTTGCACGCTGCGATGTGGTGGGAGCAGAGGGCGCAGACCATGTAGCAAGAGATTGCAAGCAATGTAAGCAATGTTTAGTAGCTTTCTCATTTTGCATCATGAAGGAGGGATGATCCTTGTGTGGCTTATAGAATCATAGAATTGTTTGGGTTGAGAGGGACCTTGATAACTCATCTAGTCCAACTCCCCTGCAACGAGCAGAGACATCTTCAACTATATCAGGTGGCTCAGAGCCCTGTCCTCAGTTTGTATAAATTCCCACAGTTGAGCTGAAGTTGGGAACTGCAAAACTGGTACCCAGGGCAGCCTGTGCCCTCTGGACTCACCCCTGTGGCAGGGACCCTTGAGAACACGGTGCAGCACTGGAGCACTGTGAACTCCACCCCTGAGCCGGCTTCCCTTTGCACAAGTAACCAGATCAGTTTAATTTTGGTGGCTGCTACCGGACTTCTGATCAAGAGTGAGGTCTGTCCTCGACCCACACAGCCAGTCCAGCCCAGACTGTAGCTGTCCACTGAACCTCTGCCCTGCCACGCCGGTGCAGGTTCACAGATCTTAGACTGCAATTTTCAAATGTTACCGATTTGCCCTGAATTGAGTGAGCCCTGCAGACCAAAGCACTTTGAACTTGTGCTTGGGTGGGGACTTGGGGTGAAGTGACAGGATGCACTAGGCAGCACTGAGGGGGTCACATACTTATGGCTCTGCCCTTTCCTTCAGCGTAAATTAAAGAGAAATTTCCGAGGCTTAACTTACACCAGCAATTTTAAGGAAGTAAATTGCATGTTCACATGAGAAAACACAAAAGAACTTGCACAACTGAGCAAACACTTCCTTTTTTCCCCTCCACTCCTTTTTATGTCTTTTCTATCAAAGCAGCTGCCCTTACCCAACAGCTGAATGCTGGGGGTGTGCAAATGACCCCGGCGATTGACTCGGTGAGAACAGAAGGTTGCAATGTTAATGTTTGATCTTAGAAATTCAGCACCAAACTTTAGCAAAAGATAAATAAATAAATGGGTGAAGGAGACTGAACACAAAGCAGGCACCTCTCATTGCTATAAGGAGGGAATTAAAAACATTAAAATCTTCACATTTGTGTTGAGAAAACTGGAAGCTCTTCTACAGACTCGTCTCCTTGCAAAGCACCAGAACCAAACCCTGTTTGTCAAATCTTTATATCAAAAGGTGCTGCAAAAAAACCAACCTTGTTTCCAGAGATTTTTCCTTGCTGCAAAGCACAGCGGCCCTTCAGAAGTAGAGCTGGTTACAGTGGAACAAATCAGCCTGGGAAGAGGATAAGCTCAATGACCTTTAAGACAAATGATCTCAGTTTAAATCACAGGAACAGAAATATTACAGAACACACCGAAGAGTCTCCACTGTCAGAGCTGCTCAACCTCCTAGGCAGTTTAGGTATCAGTATTGTGCTGTCAATAGTAAAACTGTAAGTCTTGAAGTCTGGGCATACAAACAGAAGTAATACACAGAGCTAACGTTCTCCGTTTTCCAGTAATCGATCCAGTATTTTTTTAATTCCTCTTAAAAGCAAAATTATCCACTTAAAATTAGGTACCAAATGATGCGCTTTTAAGGACCGTTCTGTCCGCGGATGTGCCGTTAGTGGAAAGATAAACCAGATGGCAAACTCAATAAAGAGGAGCCAGTTAAACAGAGACAGATGAACGCCTAAAAAAACCCCTTTGCTCCATTATTGCTTTTGAACTGGTTGTCATGGCACTAGAAATGGATACCACTGTCAGCCTCCCACCTCCGCCCGGCCAGCTCTTCTCAGGCTCTGTCCGAAGCACAGAGCTCACGCCGGTGTGAAAAACACCCTCTCCCAGCACCACTCTGCTCCCACCAAACAGGGGTGCGTGCGTGGAGGTCACACCTCTTGTCACATCGAGGGCACCCAACAGGAAAAGACTGACCTTCAGTCTCAAATTCCAGTTTGAGAATGCTAAAGTTCAAATCATTTTAATCCTGTGCTCCGTCTGTGGCTTACAATCCACTGCCAAGAGCCAAGGACTATCCACTTAGCACTGGAGCTCTGTAGGACTGGAGCTGCCATGGAACATAAGCTGACCTTTGTCAGATTTACACATTAAAGCAGTTTCTCTTCCCCTTGACAATGTCCATTAGCAAGGAACACTGTTTGCCAAGCAGACGGAAAAGAATAAGGGAGGCAACTTCAGAATAGCCCTGGAAAAGCTGAGTTGTTCTGTCAGCCTCTGAATTCTTTCTCCTCCCACACACATTCGATATTGAGAATCTATTAAATTAAAATTGGCAAAATCCACTAAAATAAAAACCTTAGAATGTCACAGTGCAGTTTCATTACATTTCTCCTTTTAATAGAGCATATAAAATGTGAGTTTACAATGAGTTTAGTAAGCTGTAAATCAGCACTTTTATTCAGTTTTGTTTCTGAGCTATTAATCCCTAATGCAGAGGCAGAACGCTGATGTGCTGGTCTAGGACCTCCCGAGATAATAGTTCAAATAATCCCAGTGACATGGAAAGGGAATTTCATTGAATCACCTGAGTCCCTGCTAGGCACACCCTCACCCCATAACTCAACGTTCACAGAGCTTATAGTCTTAATTATCGAGGAAAAAGGACGGAATTCCCTTCTGGCTTCACTGAGCAGCAGTTACGGAAAACAAGTGGAATTTTGCTCAAATAATTGAAGGCAAGTCCTTAATTGGGTTCTGTGCTCTGTCAGTGGTGTTTTGGGTAAAGAGCCCCGTGTGGTGCAGCAATGCAGCCACCCTTCCACTGCTCCTCTGAGTCAGACTTTGGTGCATCCTCAGCACAAGGAACAGCAGTGCCTGGATGCTCAGCAGGACAGGAAAAACACACACCACCACAGCCAAGTAATTTTGAAGAATTTTAATACAAACTTAATATAAACTATTTCAGTCCCTCTTAACATGTAAGACACTGACTCAAAATACTTTTATACCTTTTTTCAAGTATTGCACAATGTAGGTACAAAATTAATATTTACGATTACATTTTCTTCCATAATATATAGCAAAAATCTTTAAACTTTTAACAGAAAATACAATTTGTGTTTCTTTTGAAAAAAGCAAATATTTCGTACATTTTAATTCCACCACTAAGGAATATTCTGTACACAACTTTTTTACTTTTTTTTAGAATTGATGTCTTTAAGATGGATATCTTACAATTTCAGTAAAAAAAATACAACATGAAGCTGCTGCAGCTGTCACAGATCACTGTAGTAAAAAGATATAAATGCAATACCATGTTGTAGAAACAATATATATACTCTGATATTTTACAAACTTTGTACTAAATTAAATTATACAATTAGAAAAAGACCAATAAACCCACCTATTAGTGCCAATTTTTTTAATATATATACATATATGTCTGTGCACATATATATATATACACATGAAAAAAATTAGCCACGTCCTTGCTATATCTTAAATACTGTAAGAGGCCATATTTTGAGAGTATATTTTTGTAATGTACAGTCAGTATAAAATAATTTTGTGCTTGGTTGGCAAATGAAAAAAATGATGCATGTTGTATTTATCTAACCAAGCCTGAATGTATTCATACTACAAGCCTTAAAAAAAATCTCAAGAGGTGGAAAAAAAGATACACCCTTGGGTACGTGCATTTTTAACTTGTACAATAGTATTTACTTGGATTTCACTTTCGGTTTATTTTTAGTTAGCCATAACTGGCTGGAATTGCTGGTTAGAATACTGCATGTTGTTTAAACTAAAATTCAAGCCATCCACAAAAGACTTCTCATTTAGACCTCCATAGGCTGCAAACATATCAAAGGCATTACTGTACTGGAGAGGACTGAGGTTAAGGGGGCTGTCACCAGGAAAGATGCTACTGGTACTACCTTGACCCTGCATGTTGGGGAAAATGAACTCCTTTGCGTTAGGAGACAGGGCAGAAGTCTTCTGCTGTTGCTGTTGCTGCTGCTGGCTGCCTAGGCCAAGCCCGTAGAGAGAGTGCATGGAGGAGGAGAGGGCTTTCTGCTTCAACAGGTCATTGACATTCAAGCCAAGGTTGGTGGGAGAGGTGCGGGCGACCTTGTTGCCACGGCCGCTATTCTTCATTTTGGTCGAGCCAAACTTGGTGGCAGCAAATGTGGCAGTGGTGAAGGTTAAAGGCTGAGTGGAGCGGGGCATGAAAGTTGGGCTCACAGCAGCTGAGTGACCAAAGGGAGGAGAAGGAGAACTAGACACTGAAGATGCTGGGTCACTAATTGGCATGAACACCTGGGCCTCTGGGTTAAAGCTGTTCTTGATTTCCTTATCCAACTCACATCCATTTTCATTATCATCCACATAAAGCACTTTCACTGGTCCCTTTTCACCGATTTGGTATGAAACCTCAAACGGGTCAATCCAAACACTAAGATCCTGAGGCAAGTTGCCACGAACATCATCAATGTCCAAACCACTCTCTTTGGATGCTTGTTCTATGACTGGGTCCACTTTCTCCCCTATATGAATACATCTAAACCCTGATCCTTTGTATGGCTTTTCTGGATACCAGTGCCCTTCATATTTCTTCTTAAGAAGTCTTTCAAGCTCTTCACCAAAGATGTTGACACGTCGTCTGGGAAGCTTATTGTACAAATAGGAAATAATAAAATTGAGTGCTACTTGGATTTCAAGCTGCATAGCTGCTATGCCACAGAGTTATAAGTCTGTTTCAAAACCCGAAGAAGAAAGTGTTCAAGACGCCACAGGGAAACAAAGTTTCATTCAAAGTGCTGATTCGAGTTGATTATTATCCTTCACCTTGAGTGCTCTTGTTCCTTTAAGAAAAAACAAAAGCAAACACATCCAAATAAGGAAAGAGTAAGATAAAGCTCGGAGGCCTATTCTTTCAGCTTCACTTTCTGCATAAAATAGGTTACTTTTCAAGTCAAAAAATGTGCACCAAACTATTTCAGTTCCTGCCTGCGGAAGGCGAGGATGTCAGCTCCATTCAGCCTGACTTACAAACAACGCTGCACAAGATGGGCTTGTGTTTACATATACAGCATGGGGCACTTCCAAATCACATGAGCTGGTTGTTTGGTTATTCACAAAGCAGCAAGGATAATTTTTAAGACATCACAGAACTGCCAAGCCTGTCAAGGGTTCAATTACCAACCCTTATTTGGATGATTTATAGTACTCAGCTGCAAAATTTAGCACCAGACTATTAGTTTAGCCTGAGAGGTCTCAGTCCAAGGGTCATTTATCAATTTAAAGTTTGCAGACATATTGACTGCGCTGTAGGCTGCAGAATTATAAAAATGTTAACAACCGCCTCAGAAGATTTCACACAAATAACTAAAATTATGCAACATTTATTTTAAGTCCAGGCAAATCTTCCGCATAAACTGTGCACGGGTGAAATGATGCAAACTGAGGAGAAAATGTCCGCTGTGCACATCCAACAGTTCTTCCTCCAACTGCTCAAACTGAAATGCAGTCAGCACATACAGAAGAGATGCATGTGTGGTCTGTCATAAGGGTGGCCATGACCACGGAATTATTACGATAAATTTATTCAACATTTTTTAATAAAAATTATTCTATATTTTAAGATGTGAGGTACAATATATACTCAATTTTTATTGAGTATTTTTATAGTTCAGATTTCAAAAAGTTGCAGAGCTAGCAGGGCTTTTGGCAGCCTCAAACACGACTGCCCTTCTCCTTCTCCATGCCTCCATTTTATATTTAATGTAAGATATGGTTGCCACTCCTTCACAGAGGACAAAAGAGAAATTAGCTGTCTAAAGTTAGAGAAGGGACAAGAATCAGGTATTAACACACGTACTGCTAACACAAATCTTGCAGTACCTTGGTATAAAAGTACTCATGTAAAGCACACACCTTTGTCAAAAAGTTCCAATGAAACAAAATATGTTGGGGTTTTTTTTTTTTGCTCAAGTTAAAAGCCCCAAACAGAATTTCAATTAACAGTGGATTGTTCTGCAGTGCATCACCAGGAACAAAATTTAGCGTAGCTGTCATTAAAGATTAGAGAAATCAAAGTCAATATCAAAATCCTTTAACAATGAGGCTACACTGCTTTTTTATTTCCTGCTCCGAATAATCTCCTTTTAAAGTCTGGAACCCTATTTCCAAGCCACTCGTGTTCTCCCCAACATGGTATGGGAATAGTTTGAAAGCCTGTACGATAAGGCGACCTTTAAACGTTTGCTGGATCAGCACCGGGTGGGGATAAGGAAAAGATCAAGGGCAAACAGAAGATATTTACAAAAGGGGCACAATCAGTACAGAAAAGCTGAT